TGCATAAATTTTACTTTTATTTGAACCTGGTACATGAACGTTAATTCAGAGTAGATACAGTATGGTCAGCAACATATAAAAGTATTACAGTGGTATTGGCACGGATGTAGTAAAAGTTATGGTACTTTACATAAAAGTAAGTAAAAATAAATAAATACAACTTCTTTATATTCATTTTATACTTTTTTTTACATTCAGTTCAAAAAGGAAATGTGGACAAGCAACAATTATGAGAATAGTTCTCTCACATAAATAATTCACTCACTCACAAAGGGGAGCTGAATACAAAGAGGTCAGATAAAAGTCAGATATTTTAACGGTTGACAGAAACAAAAAGGATGATCTTCGTTTGTGGAACACGTCATAAGCACACCTAGTTACAACAATGCCATCTTCTACAGCTACGGTGTTAAAATGAAAAAACAAATTCTATTTTATACTTTTATACTACATGATCAGAGTTAAAAACTATATTTGTCCTTTTCTAAATGCAATTCTGTAAAATCTTTTCAACAGTAATCCATTCTAACAGATTACGAAACCTTGAAGGTCTAATTGTAATAACGCCCAAACCCATTTCCTTTGTATGGACTCTTGTTGGCTAAACACATGAGGCCAAACACAAAAGAAAAGAAAACTTGTCGAAGCGTCATAAAAAATACCATGTGTAGTGGGGGTGCAGTATGTTATTAGTAAAATGAGGCATGGCAGTTTGTGAAGACTGCTTATGCAGGCTTTAGTATTGGCTTTTAGAAAACAGTCTTTGCTTCTAAAATATACAGTAGGCCCAGTTGATGAAGTGTGACTCTCACTGCTTACTATGCAAAAGTTTCCCCATCAAGAGCTCTTCTTCCAGGTCATTAGTAGCACTCCAAGACAATGCAATTCGATAACAAGACAATGGCTGACTGGACGAAGACGGACAAGAGTTACCTCTTACAATAAGCCAAGGACAAGACCTTCAGACAAAAAGAAGCAAGTGCATTTTTCTAACAATGACCGCACAAAAAGCTGCTAATACTTTTTAAAGCTAATAGAGGTTGATTCAAGGTTGTCAATAAAGTGCACTTGCCAACAAATCAGTGAAAAGGTTAAAATATAGCTCTCTGTATGTACATAAATACATTACACAGCAGACCCAGATTATGCAGCGCTGCTGGATATGAAATGCCAACAAAAACATAACTAATTTCACAAGGTGTAAACACAATGAGCTGGTTAGGTTTATGAACGGAAAATAACATTATGCTAGTATATGTAACAGGGAATTTAAAAAAAATCCCTCATTATGCTGATGATATTGTGATATGCATCATTATGATTAAACATAGGAACAAAGTATTTTGAAAATGACAGCAATGACACACTACCTTTATAAAAAATTATAATCCAGAGATTCAAAATGGCTTATTAGGAAAATAATGGCTATTAGATGACAACCAAAAAGTAATTAGACATTCCTTTCTTAGTAAATAATCACCATCATACTAGTGAGTGACCCTTAAAAATTGGTCTAATGGCTAGTTGGGGTTGTCATTGCTGTATAAATAATTGGATTAGATTCGCTCAGAAAAAAAAAATCACTATGATAGAAAACAAATGCGAAACACAGCATATTTTGATGAACAAAACTGTCTTCTCTAACTTCAGTTTTCCAAAACTTGTCTTTTAAGAAAAGCCTGCAGTATAGTGGTCACAGCAAGATAACCTAGCTAATGATGTTAAATTGGCTTGTAGATTACATTACTGCCTTACACTTCTATGAGATATAAAAACAATTAACAGAGTAAGAACAAGAAATAGTTAGAGGTGATCAATACTAAGTGATATTTTAACTTTAAATCGTTTCCAATTAATAAACTCTATCCAGTTTTAGTATGCTACTCCAAACATTACTACACCCAACATTTCTTCCTTCTACAGTAGAAATAAACATTTTTGTAATTTTTTGATAAGCACGTTCGTTGTGTATTAAAAACACAGAGGAATCCATTTATGACACATTTTATTTTTTCAAAATGACCTAAGGGTAACCCCACCAATGTCAACCTTAGCTCTGATAACATTACAATTACCAGTAGACCCTGATCTGTGTTCAGATGTCTGTACTAATCTCACTTCCATGTCTTATCTTTGTAACCTATCTGAACTTCCTGAAAGATGCTGTTTATTGTTTGTGTCGGCATTTGCACACGACTAGACTTTAAAGAAAGTCCTTTGGGTTTTAGAGCTTATCGTAGCACTGAATAGGTGTTGATGAAAATCACTAACGGCATTTCATGGCCTCAGATACTGAAGGGAGAAATCAGTCTGCCCAAAGTGCACATGTGAAATAAATACTGATAGAAGCAGTTTTATTTAAAACACACACACACACCTAAACTACTCTCAATGCGCACTTTGAACATTCTTTGCGTGCTGATTCAATACCATGAAGCCCTCAAATGTATAACAATTATGAGTGTATGCTCCTTCTATACGCCAATGGCTATCTTTCTACAATGCCTGTAGATTCTCTCCAAACACTTAACACTCTGAGGGTGGAATCTATGGAAGAAAAAGTCTCATTGCAATCTGCCTGTTTTTTTTTTTACTCCGAATTTTAAACACTTAATTTTTTTTAACACCGTATTTTAAACATAAAATTTTTTAGAACCAAATTTTAAACACTGAATTTTTTAAACTCCGAATTTTAAACACTGCATTTTTTTAACATCATATTTTAAACATTGAATTTTTAGCACCGACTTTTAAACACAGATTTTTTTTTAACACCGAATTTTAAAGACTGAATTTTTTTAGCACCGAATTTCAAACAGAGAACTTTTTTTAAGACATTACTTACAGTGAATTTTTATCTGGTAAAAATTCACTTGCAAAAAAATTCAGCTACAAAAAATTTGCTTGCATAAATACAGTATTTAAAATTCGGTGTAAAAAAAAAAAGGCAGATTTAATTAGACTGTTTTTATTCCATAGGAACCTGAGAAAATAATCTGCTTGTGATTGCCTAATTTTCTGGAAATCCCACCTCTTGAGACAGTAGGCTACTATTTTGTTCTTAGTAGCAAAGCATCATTAGGCTAATAGTTGTTGTCTTTAAGAGTAGAATTCTGACTACAGAGTATATGCAAGAGTTTCCACTCAAAATCAGACACTGATTTTTATAAAGAAAATTCTTAACAATAGCTGCAAACTGTCTGTATCCCACCATAAATGAGTGGGTTTCTTTAAGCTTCACTTTCCTCAACATGAACAGCAAAGCTAATGTTAGCTTAGCTTATACAAAGTTCCAAATATTATCATTATTCATTTTAGAACATATGGCTACTCTTGTCAGACATTTATGACTGAAACGTTTATAACTGTTTTAAACGTAGTTATTCAGTGATGACTTAATTTAACTAAATTTTAACTCAGGGTTTTAAGTCTTTCAACTGCTATTAGCTTAAAGATGTTTTGCTAACATTACTGTTCCAAGAAGTGGGATTTCTTAAAAAGTAGCCAATCACAGACAATTTAATTTCTCAGTTTTGTTCCCCCGTCAAAGTGACTAAAGTTGAACTGGATTCCAGCTTTGTTTTTTTAAGAGACCTCCAGAGGGTGACCATGCACTCCCTAAAGGATAGGATCAGGATCTAGTTGATCTGGGAGGACTCAGAGTAGAGTAGCTGCTCTTCCTTCTGAAGTACATTTATCACCCAGGACAAAAACAAATACAAAACCAATCTTTTTCTGAAGACATTACATTAAGAAAAACAAGTAAAGTAGGTTTAGTTATGATGTATATGAATGAAATGTTTTTTTAGCTACATGCTATTCCACCTCGCCTACATTTGCACAACACATTGTTAGTCGTCACACAAAGACACAAAGTTCACATTTAGAAGTACTTACACTTTAGATACATAATTGTACATAATTTAAACAATATATTCGATTTGTATAAAGGAAAAGCCATTTCCTGTACAACAATATACTCCATGTACAATCGCAGGGTTAAACGCTGCACATCTATCACCCTTGTTCTAAGGACAGAGTAAAGACTACCTTCAGTGTAACATCTACCCAAAAAATTTATCAACCAGTGATAAAGAATGCTCTATAGGAGGTCTAAAGGGAAAGCAGGGGGCACCATTTGCTCCGTACACTTGAAAAAAATCGAAATCTAGATAAGTTATTTATTCTTAAAATAAGTGCATTTGTTCTTGGATTGAGGACGTAAAAGATACATTTTGCCAATGGAACAAGACAATTTACACTTAAAATAAGAAAACACAATTGCATTGTCTTATTTTAAGTTAATATTATCTAATTATCTTATTTTAAAAGTAAAAATACTCATTCCATTGGCAAACTACCTCATTTACATACTCAAAATAAGGGTAAATACGCTTAATTTAAGAAATATTTTACTTTTTTCTAGATCGTTTTTCCAGTGTATGTGTTTCTGAGAATATACACTGGAAAACAGATCTAGAAAAAGTAAAATGTCTTAAATTAAGTGTATTTACCCTTACTTTGAGTAGGTTAATGAGATCTTGCCAATGGAATTAGCATTTTTACTCTTAAAATAACACAATTAGATAATATGCACTTTGAAATAAGACAATGAAATTGTGTTTTCTTATTCTAACTGTAAATTGTCTTGTTCAGTTGGCATGTGTCTCTTTTACCTCCTCAATCCAAGAATAAATGCACTTATTTAAAAAAAAAAAAAAGACTTAGATTTAGATTTTTTTTCAGTGTACTCATAAGGCAGACAAACATTTTTATCTGATCGCTGCCATCAGACATCTTGTGTTGAACAGTTACACATCAGACACATCAATAATTCTCTTTAACAATGGATAACCAGGTCAAAAGGTAGGATTTACAGCTCTGACCTTTTTGGTTTTTTTTTTACATTCCTAATATGTACATGTATACAGTAACAGTGAGGTCTGTACCCTCCAGCTTCAAGCCGTTGTGAGCATAGGTATTGGTTAATCAGTGGTGCTTCCACTTCTATTTGAAATAGTCGAGACCCGCTACCAAGAAGAACTTCTCCAGGAACAGCTCAGAGTCCAGGACGGCGATGTGGGCGGCGCGGCCGATCAGGGTGTTTGCTGTGTTCGGTAGGGCATGAAACACGTTCTGCCGGATCAGTCGGCACTCCTTGGCCTCCACAACTGGCTGAAGGAGGTTGTTGATCATCTCTGTGTAAACAGGCCCTTTAGAACAAAACAAGGAATGACACATTAACAACTTTTTACGGAAGATGTCGCCTTAAAAATGTTAAAATACCATCTCTTTATGCAGGTTGTTTAAAGGTGAAATATCACCCAATGGCAATATTTAAAGACCAAATAACTAACATCAAAGGTTCAAACTATGTTTATAAATTTGGTGGGAAGCAGCAACTATGACACTAACCTTCCTTGCAAACGCATTATACTCCTTTAACTGTTCCACATCAGACCAGCCCTGAATGACAGTTATAAATATATTATATGCAATAAACTAAGAGAACAGGGGATTTTTTCACCCCTGATAAACAACGCCCAACGACGTCCGATAATGACATCTCATAAAAGAGTACCCTAATTTTAGGGACTATAAGCCGTTTCACAAGCTTTGAACCCTGCGTCTCATCATCCGATGCGACTTTTTTGATGGATTTTTTTAAATTATTTTTTTGATATCTTAAGCACTTTATTTTTTGTTTATTCCACTGTTGTATCAACCTATTCTCATTATGAGTGCGTATGAAATCGTACGAAAAGTTATGCACCGTAATTTCATACGTTTTGGACGTTTTTTTCGTGGTATGCGCATGCGCATCTGACGCACCATTCACGAATGTAGAATATAAATTACAATTAGCCCTAACCCTGACCCTGACCCTAATCCTAACCCTAAGATATAAGACAGAAAGCAACGTAGTTAGAGACATGAATAAGTGATTATTATTCTTAAAATGAGATAATTAGATAATATGCATTTGAAATAAGATGAAAATTGTGTTTTCTTATTTTAAATGTTAATTGTCATTGAAAAGATGTTTCTTTTACCTCCTCAGTCCAAGAGCAAATGCACTTATTTTAAGAAAAAAAAGTCTATCTTTATCTAATCTATCTCTATCTAATCTATATTTTGGTTATTTTCCAGCGTAATCCAGGCTGCAGAAGGCTACCCATTGCACTTCAGCTATCCAGGAAACATATTTATAAACAACTGGAGCTTCAAACTGAATAGGTTTTGAGGACATAACAATGAAAAAAATTGTAAAAATAAAAAGTGTAAATAATAATATCACAAGGCAATACTAAAATATATTTACAGATAACATATCTTTGACAACCCAGGGTTATGGAGTTCCAAAATATCACTTTCTGACCTGTAGTTCTGTCTTTCAGGGCAGTTGTGCACATCTCTATCCTGGCTGAGTGGAAAGGAACATATCGGTCCTGAGGTGACGCGACCAGCACCACGTTCTTGAAGTACTGCAGCCCTAAAAGCCCCATAAAAGCAAAAAACAAATGAAACGGCTGCTTGTTTTGAAGTGTTAGAGGCAGACAGAGGTAGGGCGAGATGAAGTAAGGGAAGAAATCAGTTGTAAAACATAAAGTACAATCACCAAGTGCAACAGGCTTGATATGATAAAGGTGTGTTGTTGCTTTTTTTTGTTATATACTGGCACGCTTTTAAGACACTTCAATGTTGAGTTGACAGGCCTTTGGATCATTTTGTCAGCCACAGCTCTGGGGATATATGTGTGTGTGTGTGTGTGTATGGGGGGGGGGGGTAGCATTTTCAGGCTTATCTTCTTCATGCCTGTGTGACAAACGGCTGCTTTGTTCCGAGCCCTCAGTGGGGAGGCGTCACGCAGCTCTTTGGTGTGTGTGTGTGTGTGTGTGTGTGTTTCCAAGCTGACACTCGCAGAATTTTGACAAACAAAATAGACAAAGTGACAACTTGGTTTTATGAATATTTGAAAAGAGTGCCTTTCAGGATGCCGCTTGTAAAGCGCGGCCGTCAGCATGCTGCCTTTGTTCGGGCCGCATTCATATCGTACCTGGTTTCTGACTCAGGAGGTAGAGAAATGTTTTCCGTGGATCAACGTGGTCTCTGAATGTCAGCTGCAGCAAGGATCCAGATTTCTTCAACTTCTGCATCACCCAAAGACCTAATGAACAAACCCACAGACATAAAACACTTTACACTATCTGATTCTACACTCAGCAAAACAAAAACAAAACATTAAGCTTTTGGTTTTGCTCCAGTTTTTTATGAGATAAACTTAAAGATCTTAAAGTTTTTCCACATACACTATATAAGCATTTCCCTCAAACCAGTCTAAATCTGTGATAGTGAGCACTGAGACAATCTATGCCAACTCACAGGTGTGCCATGTCAAGATGCTGATTAGACACCATGATTAGTGCACAGGTTAGACCTCAGCTTCCCACAATAAAAGGCCACTGATAACTAGAAAAGTGTTTTTGATCTTGTTTTGAGAAAAATCTTCTCAAAAGATCAATATTTTAAAAGAGTCTATTCTTGCTTAATATATTAATCTTAAAACCAGGTGCAAAATGCTTTTTGGTTGTTCTAAGTTTTTAATTGGTTAGAAGGAAAACTTTTGCAGAGTAGGAAATAATTTAGGATTGTCCCGATCCAATATTAACATTGGATGTCGGTTTAATATTAGCCAAAAACTGATAGCAGATTTTTTTCAGCCAGCATCTAAAATCGCTCATGACCAGGGGGACTGGAGACGCTTTGCTTTGCATTAAAGTAAAGATCAAATGTGATTTAGACTTTTTCTTTTTCAATTTAAAGTTAAAAGATTTAAAAATAGATTTTTGTTAATATGGGCCCATTGAAAAAATTCAATGGAAGTGTTCTTATTTTAAATTCTGTCCTTCTTTTATGTTTTTTTTCCACTTATCCGTCAGGGTCCTGGTGTCCATCTTCAGCAGTCTATGAGCAGAAGGCAAGGTACACCCTGGACATAACCCATGAAGTAATAAAAGACCACTGATCACTAGAAAGTGTTTTTATCTTGTTTTGAGTAGAATCTTCTAAAAAGAAGATCAATAATTTAAAAGAGTCTACTCTTGCTTAATAAATCAATCTGTGCTGATCGTCCTGTTTTCCAGTGTACTCCTGGTTCTCTGACCGTGACTGGCTGGATGTGCTCTCTTCATCCTCTGACATGGGAGCTGGCTCTGAGCTCATGTGCCTGTGTGTTTCCTGGACGGGGCCGCCTTTTACAGCTTCTTTTTCTATCTCTGCTTCTGTCTCCTTGAACCCCAGTCGGCCTCGGCAGATGGCCGTTCACACTGAGCCTGGTTCTGCTGGAGGTTTCTTCCTGTTAAAAGGGAGTTTTTCCTCTCCACTGTCGCTACAAGCATGCTTAGTGTGAGGGATTGTATTTGAGTCAATGTAATCAGCTGGTTTTCCTTAAATAGAAAACTTTGAATCAATTTGACTGTATGATCTGGTTGAACTGTAAAGTGCCTTGAGATGACATGTGTTGTGAATTTGGTGCTATATAAATAAAGTGAATTGAATTGAATTAAAACAAGGTCCAAAAAGCTTTTGCAGAGTAGGAAATAATAAATATGTTTTTAATTAGGGGTGTCCCGATTCAATATTAACGTTGGATGTCGGTTTAATATTAGTAAAAAACTGATATCAGATTTTTTTCCGCCAGCATCTAAAATCTCTGATTTAAATAAAAAGATAAATAAATAAATTGACCTTTATTGATCTCACAATGAAGAAATTATCTCTGCATTTAACCCTTCCCCTTTGGGGAGCAATCAGGGGTTAAGGGTCTTGCTTAGAGAGCCAGAGAGGCAGTCTGTGGGAGTGGATTTCGAACTCACAACCTCAGGATTCCAAGCCCTCTGCCCTAACCACTAGGCTGCCACTCCCCATGTTGGTAGAATCAATCTGCTTCTGTTAAACGTTTCTGTAACGCATTGGTTAATTTTACATGGGTCAGTTGTTTTCATACCTTCTGTTGCTGACTTTTGTTCCAATTGTTGGTGATATTAATTGACCAAGCCTTTCTCACATTCAGGGCTAACTGATTAAAAATAAACCAGTAAAGATCCGGAGAAATTTTTTATTATAATCTGTTACTTTAAACAGAATTTAACACTGAAATAAAATTCAGTGTTTATGCGTTCATGTTATACATTGAATTAAAAATAAATTAAATAAAATAAAAAATTTTGAAATCTAAAGTGTTTTTTTAAGTAGAGAACAATTTCCTGATTCACATATTTTATAAAACACCTGAACTGAAGGTTTATTTTCTTTCTTTTTTTATGTCTTAATGAGAGCAGTGGGCTTTATGCTGCCCTGCAAGGCTTTAAACCTGGCTTTAAATGGAGACTAAGCCATTCTAAAGCACATATCAAGATGCTCATTTTGAGCCTGGATCCATATTTATTTTTGATTCTGTTCATGGTGGAGAATCCTGCTTCACAGCAGCAGGTTGAACCAAACATCCTCTAAATGTTCAGGGTCATCTTTGAGCACCATTTCACTTTTCTTTCACCAGTTCACCACAGTTCTTCCAGCAGTCCACACTTTCTCATCATCTTCTCCTTCTTTCCCATCGACCGGCTTCTCACGTTTGCCTGCTGAGTCTAAAAGTTGCAGCAGCAGCAACCCAGACTGACAGCAGCTCATTGGATAATTTGTATCACGTATAGTCTGGTGCCGGACACTACAAATGGGTTTACCATATTAACAGAAGAGGCGCAAGTGAAGTTAAGACACAGCCGTTGAACAAAATGCAGTAATATATAAATGTTTTAAATGAGGTTTGGTCTGGATTAGCCAGCAGGTAGGTCTGGATCAGCCGTCCGCTAATCCATGGCCTCCTTTCTACAGTATAAAACAAGTAATAAAAATTGCTATGATTTGTGCTAATATCATACTGGCTAATATCCCGTTGGCCAATTCCCAAAGCTGTAATATCCGTATTGTTTTGGAAATTAAAAAGTTGCATCCAGACATCCCTGTTTTTTAATTAACACATTAAATACATTTTGGTAATTTCATTGCTTTGGTCACGTTCCCAGCATTTCATGACATGGAAACCTGTCATATTTACAGAGATGTGTACATACAGATGAGCCAGCTGTGTTTCTGGATTTTATTTTTTGTTCCCCAGTGTGGAAAGGCGGCCCTACCTGTGCTGACCAATGTGCTGTTGTTGTACAGCGTTCCCAGGTGTGGGCCGGACAGCGAGAGGAAAGTGTGCAGCTTGGGCAGGTAGCAGCGGAAGCGGGGCCTCGTCAGTACGGACCGGATGATGACGTTGCCCAGAGAGTGGCCGATGAAGCTGCAAGCCAGAGAGAAACAACTATCAGACAGAGAAACCAACACCTCAAGTGGATGGCTGCAAAAAATATCCTCCAGCATTGCTGACCCATGACACCACTCAGCAGCTTCACACAGCAGCAACTGGTAATTGAACATTCTCAAAGACACTGACAACTGAGCCGAGTTTAGAGGACATATGAACTAATAGCAGAGGGAAATGTTAGATTCATCAAGCTGTTTCTGTCACTTAGTTTAATTACTGTAATACTGCAGCCATGCTTACAATCCCTCATCTGTCTCCTTCCAAACTAAATATAGAGGTAATGTTGAGAAAAGCAGATGCTGCTGAGGCAGTCCGCTGCTTTCTGCCTTTGATACCAACTCTCAGGAGAATACGTCACAATAAAAGAGAGTTGGAGAAACTTGGGTGGAAACTCTAACAAAAAAAAACATAACAACAAATTGGCACATTGGGGGCAATTAAGAAAGAAGATGAATAGCTTAATTTGATTAGAGTTCGACAGCAAAGTGCTGCATAAAGGAACACGGTCTATCATGTGAAAGTCAGAGGCTCATTGGCAACGTATGATAAGAGCTTCTCATCCATTTTCTGTCATTTATTCATACTAGGTCAATATATTTTCATACATACACCAATTCTGCTCCTTCTATAGGTCTGGCTTTAAAGTAAAGCTTTGCTGCCACCTGGTGGCCAAACACAGTTTTGTTAACTAAGTTTCAGAATGTGTTTAACAAAAGTGATTTTATAAAGACCAAAACAAACTAATGGAAATTAACAATGGGCTTTAAGATGTTGGTCACTCTCTCACACAGATCTGTTCAATTTACCACCTAGAAATTAGGACTCTGGCACTAAGTTCAACCCTACCAAGTGTTGTGAGTGGATTTTAAAACAGCAAATGTGGGACATTTAGGATGCTTATTAAAGGCACTGTATGACAGATTGGGTCTTTTCAGCTTTGCTTTTTTTGTTCCTTTAAACCACTCTCCCCATCCGTCTTTGTTGTGGCAACTATTTTTATGTAGTTTTTTGCTATTTTCTATTAAAATCCTTTACCTTTTCTAATTTCACAGCAATGTGTGGCAGCTTGCTCATGACATTGGGGACTGGAGCAGCTTTGCTTTTATTGCATTTAAGAAAATATTGAATAACATTTAGACTCTTTTTTTTTCAAATTTCAATTTAAAGTTAAAAAGTTAGATTTTTATTGATATGGTACCATAAAAAAATTAAATTGAAGTTTTTTTATTTTAAATTCTGTCCTTTTTCTATGTTTCGTTCCACTTATCCATCAGGGTCTTGGTGTCCATCTTCCGCAGTCTATGAGCAGAAGCAACGGCGTAACTATCGGTAGGCAGAGAATGCAGTTGCTTAGGGGCCCCCGACCTTATAGGGGCCCCGTCACTGACACCTGGTTGGCCCCCTAAAAAATTGTGGACTAGGACATCTCTTTGCAGATGTAATGGTGCGAAAAATTCCTCTTAAACCCACCTGATACTAGGTTGACTGACTGGACCTTATTTATACCCAAACACATTGTTGTGTCGTTACGCTATTGAGCAGAAGGCAAGGTACACCCTGGACATAACCCAGGTAGTCATAAATTATCATTATAGTCATGATTTTGGGCAGTAGAAAAAAGCAAGAGTACCCAGAGAACACCCGTACATGTACAGGGAGAACAAACTTCATGCAAAAAGAACAGGACCTAACCAAAAGACAGCAACAGTGCAACAAACTGCACCACCATGCAATCTCTGCTTATCTTTCATTAAACAACAAGTGTTTTACTGTTTACAATACAATAATTCATTCAATTTAATATCGTGCAACAAAGCGGACAAACAAACGAAAAACAGATGTGGATGTAATATCTTTTTTAGAATGGCGTTAGCTTTGGTAAAATCAAATGACAGATTTCCTTTTTTCTGTTATTTCCTTGTTAGAAACCTTTAGCCACTGACCTTATCCTACCAATGGTGAGATTGTACAGCTGGATATGCTGAATAATCTCGTCCAGGAGCCTGTCTGTCATGGTGTCGAAATCCGCAAACGTATCCGCCTGTGGGGAAAATTACTGGAATAAACTGCACAGCCATATACGCGCACTGTGAATTGCTCTCTGATGTGACAATCATTGTTCTTCCCACCTGATTCCTCTCAGACATAAGAAAGTCAAGCCTGGATCCCGGCAGACCCAGCTCGATGAAGGTCTTGACCAGACGCAGGTCTGCGCTGTTACCTGCAGGAGAGAGAGGAGGTTCAGCTCAGGGACTTGATGAGGTTCGTCTGGTATACTGAAAGACATTTGCTTAGAAAAAAAGGAGGGCGGCTCACCATCGAGCCCGTGGACACAAACTACAAGATGTATGCCATCTTCGAACTCCTCATCGTCTTCCTCAGGAGGAAAGTAGGGCAGATCTGACGCGAGGAGAGGAACGTCGCTGTACAAGCTAGCCTGGAACTTTAATTCTTTCAGAAGGTCGTCTTTGGCTTTGTAGAAACTACAGAAACAGGAAGAACAAAGTGGTCCTTGAAAATCGGGTGGTTTACACACTAGCTGATGTCTAAATGTGGTCGAAAGGTTTTTGGGGTTGATAAAGGAGATTTAACATCTTTTTTTTTTTTTTACAGTGTCCTGTATGACGATGTGGCAATAAGAATAATTGTCTTGATGCCAAAAAGAGCCCAACAGATTTTACTTTCACAAGTGGAGCAGTAATAGCCTGGGTGCCATTCCGAACTTAGTCCCGCCCACAACGTTTGAGGTTCGGGAAGTTCGGTCTGGCATTGCTCAGTAGTAGCGCGAGTATGATCACCCACTCTCTGGTGGGCCAATCAAATTGTCAGGGCGGGCTTTATACGATGATGGACAGATGATCAACAGTAAAGTAATCAACCATGTGACCAAAGCGCGCTTGGGTGACAACAACAATGGCTGCCGCTGGAGGGTTGAGGTGAGTAGATTCTGCTATTAGGTCTGTTCTAGAAGATATTGACAGCAAATTAAATTTAAAAGAGGAACAGAGAAACGCGATCAAGGCTCATCTTCTTATTCTAGGCGTGCAACTGCACGCTTTGATTTTTGTTGACAACAACTATGCATCGCTTAACATACGTCACGCACTCCGTTGCTCTTATTGGTTGTAGGTCTATTCAATTGAGTGCAAAGGCATTTTTTTTCCTGGTTCGTTCGAAACACGCCCCATAATCACAGCTCTATGGAGCAGTATCAGACTCATATTCTGACTAGAAATTAGTAGGACTACGTCAGGCTAGAGCAGTATGGCAATTGCCATATTGCTACACTTGTTTCATGCATATAAATTGCTTTATTATAATTATATTTTACAGTTTATATGGACACTGCAATGTAAATAGAGCAGAAAAACAGAAGAAGAAAAAAGAGAAAGAACATCTTTTTTTAAAAGTTTTTACGGCAGAAGGGGCTCATCAGAGAGGGAGAGATGTGCGGAAAAAGACCATAGGCCGGATCCAAACCCGGGTCGCCTGCGTGAAGGACTAAGGCCTCCATACATGGGTCGTGTGTACTATCCACTGTGCCACCAAAGCACACCCCCAAATTATTTAACATCTTTATTTGACTTAACATGAGTCAGTACCTGTAGGCCAAGAAATGCTATTTTGGAACTTTTGAACAAGATAAAGACAGGGACTCACCAATCCTAAATTGTAATAAAAAGTGGTGTTGCACTGAAACATGAAACATCCTTAGATCAACTTTTTTATTTTCTTTAGTCCAACTGTTTTTAATATTCTTTTTTGTTTCTGCATTTTTTATTTTATTTATTTTTCCTACTAGCTTTGATTCTGTTATTCTGTTTTATTTTCCTGTATTTTAATCATGTAAAGCACTTTGCATTGTCTTTGTACTGAATTGTGCTATACAAATAATTTTGCCTTGCCTTGCCTTGCACCAATGCCTTTTTTTTTTGTTTTTTTTGGGCCTGATACCGATACCCGATACCTTGCTGTGCAGTATTGGCCCATACTGATACCATCTGTTTGAAATTGATGTGTATATATGAAGAACTGCATACTGCTTGGATGTAAAATAATTGCCATCATGGCTTTGTCAAGCTGCTGCCTACCTTTGTAAAGCAGGAAAAAGACTAAAACAAACTGAATCCAGTAGAACTTTTTATTGCCTACCTGGAATGGGTGACAATAGTTGAATAAACTTTCGGCTCTCAAAATGTTATCGTTGCCCTATTTGTTGGTACTCGCCGATTTTATCAGTGCAACGCTAATAAAAAGGACTCCGTAGATGTCGAATATTTGAGGGGTGCAGTTTTATTAAAGTTTCACTTAAAATGTGAAAAAACACAGCGCTTGCATTCTGCTACTTATTTGGTAGCACAGTTCTGTTGCCCACTTTGAGGTGAAGCAAAGCTTCTAAGCAAAATTTTCACACTCCTAAATAAGCTCCTTGAAGTTGGGGCCTGTCATCCCGCCAGGTTCCAGACTCCAGCTGCACAGGAGTCAAAACAAATCCGATTGCACTTCCTAAACTCACAGCTAATCAGGGAGGATTTGTCTTCACGCTCTTTGATGTGATTTAATACACTCAGGAGGCGTTTCACCTCTTCTTGACTTTCCCTCTTCAAATTTAGCCCCCTCTTCATTCTGTTGTGCTAGACTTTCCAGGTGGGAGTAACTGCCAGCTCCTATAGCAGGCGTCAGCCTCCTTCTCCTGCAGTGTTTGATGCACTTTTTTTATAAATTTAATTTCTGGGCTTTGATGTTAGTCATTTTGAATTTCCTCTTGGACAACATCAAATAAGCAAGATAATTAGAGCTTGGCTGTTATCGCTGTAGCAGTGGGTATGACTCAGATTGGACAGAGGACCCTTGTGTTCTGAGAAGGCTGCAAGTTCAAATCCCACAGCCTGCCATTCTAGGTCTCGGAGCATCAAACTTGCTGCAGATTATTCTTTGTAAACATTAGTTAGGTCTTAAAAAACAAATTAAATAACATTACCATTACAGAATAACATTATTTTATATTTATACCCTAGTAATTTACACTGCATACAATTATGGCATCCAGCTAGCGAAGTATTTGTTAAAGTTTTCTTAGAAGGTTTGTTTTTGCTTAGATCTTTAGTAAAAATAGCTTTTCTGTGCATGAGTATAGTTGGTCAACAAGCCGAAACTGGAGGTGAATGAGTGTTGAACTCCGAGCGCAGTTGCACTAAAGGTAGCAGTTCAGCAGATCTTAGCTGTATCAGTATCTGTCTGTGTCAACTAATGGCGCCCAGTGCTGTCCTTCTATTTAGGCTCAAAGAGGATGATCAAAAAAATATCAGGATGGATACTTAAAATATATCGCCTTACGTGCGTTAAGTTATAGGCCAGAGGTCACCGATTAGCGGACCAGGGTCTAGATCTGGACCCACCTGCTGGCTAATCCGGAACAACCTGATTTAAAACATTTATAAATTACCACAGTTTGTCGAATGGCAGTGTCTAACTTCACTTGCGCTGCTTCTCCTGTCCATACGGTAAAGCCATCCGGAGCCTCTGGGACCAGGCTACACA